ATTCTCTGGTTGCTCCGGTGCGCCCAGCACTGGTAGTTCGGTTAGGAAATCTGCCAAAACTTGAGCCTTCATGCTGACTCGGCTTTTATATTCTATATCATATTCACTTAATTCCACTGCCCACTTCGCCAATCGTCCGGATTGATTTGGACTATGAAGTATTGTTCGGAGTGGCTGGTTGGTTAACACTTCGATTGGATGAGATTGGAAGTATGGGCGCAGCTTCCGGGCTGAAGTTACTACCGCAAGTGCGAGTTTTTCCATCATTGTGTATCTTGTTTCTGGATCTGTCATTGACTTACTTATGTAGTAAATCGGCTTTTGCTCTCCACGGTCCTCCCGGACCAAAACTCCACTAACTGCATGTTTTGACACTGAAACATACAAATAGAGCTTCTCGTCCACCTCGGGTTTGGACAACACTGGTGGAGTGGTAAGGTATGCTTTAAGTTGTCCGAAAGCTTCTTCACACTTCTCATCCCAAAGGAAACCTTTATTTCCTTTAAGAATTTGATAAAAGGGGAGAGATTTGTCCGTTGATCTTGAAATAAATCTGTTTAGGGCTGCAATTCGACCAGTCAGACGCTATACTTCCTTGAAGTTCTTCGGGGATGGCATGTTTAGAAAGGCATTAATTTGGTTTGGATTAGCTTCGATTCCTCTTTTTGTCACGATATAACCAAGGAACTCTCCGGATGGAACTCTGAAAGTGTACTTCGCCGGGTTCAGCTTCATTTGATATCGGTTGAGAATTTCGAAACACTCTTCCAAATGCTTAATGTGATCCTCTTTTTTCAAAGACTTAACCAACATATCGTCTATGTAGACTTCCATTGTCTTCCCGAGATGCTCATGGAACATTTTGTTGACCAATCGTTGATAAGTGGCACCTGCGTTTTTTAAACCAAAAGGCATTACTTTATAACAATAGGTACCTCTGTCTGTGATGAATGACGTCTTTTCTTGGTCTTCGGGATCCATCATTATTTGATTATAACCCGAGAAAGCATCCATGAAAGTTAATAACTCATTCCCAGCGGTAGATTCTACGAGCCGGTCTATATGCGGGAGCGGAAAACTATCTTTTGGACATGCCTTATTGAGATCGGTGAAGTCGATACACACCCTGTCCTTTCCATTTTTCTTTTTGACCACGACAGTGTTTGCTACCCACTCCGGGTATTGTACTTCCCTTATAGATCCTATTTTTAATAGTTTGTCCACTTCATCATTTACTGCCTTTGCTCGCTCTACTCCGAGTTTCCTTCTCTTTTGTTTTACAGGCTTAAAACTTGGATCTACGTTCAATTTGTGGCAGATTATGCTTGGATCTATGCCAGGCATATCGGCCGCTGACCATGCAAATGACGTCTTGTTTTTCCTTAGAAGTTCAATCAAAGCTTCTTTTATTTCGCCAGTCAAAGTGACTCCAATTCGGACTTTCCGATCTGGTTTATCTTCTTCCAATACTACTTCGATTACCACATCGTCTTCTTTTTGCCCACTAGGAAATCTTGGAATTTCCTTCTTCGCAGGTTTCGTTAATTGCTATTGGATCTTTAGTCGATGACTGGTCAGATAACACGTTCGTGAAGCTTCTTGACTTCCTCGAATTGTTCCCACTCCACTAGGAGTTGGAAATTTGATGCACTGATGATACGTCGAGGGAACTGCCTTCATTTGATAAATCCATGGAGTCCCAAGGATGATGTTGTAGGCTGCTGGTTTATCAAAAACAACAAAATCTACTATCTTTGACACGTTTTTGGCAAGAACTGGTAGCTTGATCGTCCCAAGAGACATGGCCGATTCGCTTGTGAATGCCACCAAAGGAGACGGCGGTCCTACAATATCTGCCCGACTGATTCCCATTCTTTCCAGGGTACCTAAAAAGATTAAGTCGACCGAACTGCCCGTATCAATGAGAATTCTCGAAACTTCAAAGTTGGCAACGTCTAAGGTAATGACTAGGGCGTCATCATGAGGCCTTTCGAGGTGACACGTTTCTTCTTCGTCAAATGATATTGACGCGCCTTGAAAGTCCATTTCTTCGCCTAAATTCGCTTTAAATAAAGCATTTCGCCTATGCTTCTTTATGGCATTGATCGTATCCCGACAAAGCTTGGAACCTCCAATGATTACATTGATTTTTCCCTTCGAACTTCTAGGTTCTTCTTCGTTGGATTGCCTAGGTCTTTTTAAACTCTGATCTTTAGGGGTATCCTTTGCCTCGTGATATTCTTTCACGAAATCTTCTAACTTGAATTTAGAAAGATCTCCACTGGCCCACAACTCTGCGAGGTGCTTTTTGAGGACACTACAGTTTTTGGTTAAGTGTCCGGTTACCTTATGGATGTCACAATACAAACTTTCGTCACGGACCCAAGTGTTCGACCTCCCTTTTCCTTGAAATTGTTTCCCGACGGTATTGTTGAGGGGTTGCGATCCGAACTTTTTAGGTCCTTGGTTCTCTCTGGGCTCAAACTTTTTGGTAGGGAAAGTGACCGCTGGTTTTGCTTGTTTGTTCCTTTTCGCAAAACTCTCTTTTTCGTCTTCTACTTCCATCCAGTTATTTGCACGGAAAAGTGCGTCTTGAATTGTGTCCGGTTTGTGAAGTATTAGATCTTCTTTGAACCTCGAGTCATGCCATAAACCTTTTCGTAGGGCAGATAGAGCTGACTGCTGCGAGATTCTTGGGAGTTTTGACAGCACCCCCTTGAATTTGGTGATGAAAGTTCTAAGTGACTCATTTGGCCCTTGTGTTAGATTCCAAAGGTCAGCATCCGAAACGCTTTTATCCATGAGGATAGAATATTGTTTCAGGAAAACAGCCGACAACTCGTCGAAGTTATTGATTGAGACTGGTTCCAGCTGAGTGAACCACATTAGTGCTTGACCGCAAAGGTTTTCCGAAAAGAGTTTGCAGTATCCTGCATCCTCATCAGCTTCATCCAATTCGACTCTTCCAGCGGCAATCAGAAAAGCTGCGAGATAGCTTTTTGGGTCTTCTAATCCACTGTACGGATCCAATTTGAGTTTCCGAGAATCCTTGATTCTCAAATTTGCAATTCGCGGAATGAAAGGAGTTCGCCTAGCTTCCTCGATGACTCGGTTGATGTCCGGCTCCGAACTGGTGGCCTGGTGGAACTTTGACTTCATTTCTTTTAGTTCCTGGCTAACCTTCCTCATGGTTTCGAGCTGATCGAAGCTCTCTTGATCATACTGATCTACAAGCTGATCTTCATCTCCGAGCTGCGTCTCTTCTTCCACATCCGGTTGGATTGTTGGGTTAGAAGTTGTTTGTTCGTTGGTCTCACTTCGCACACGGGAGTTTGGCGTACTGAACATGCTTCTTCGGACTCCCACGGTACTTCCTGCACCTAGAGAACGAACACGAGATTGAATAGTATTGATGTTTTGACCAAGAGATACCTGGGTTGTTTTAAGCGTGTCCACAGCTTTTTCCACATCCGAGAACTTCTGCGACATTTCTGTTATGGCTTGCTGCATGGTCTTGAGAGCCTCGGCTACTGTCGAATCAGGGATGCTTGCTCCAGACATTGCTGCTTATCTCGGAAATGAGAGAAATCTGACAACTCAAGAATCTTCTAGATCCCCACAGGCGGCGCCAAAATGTGGATGTCGGATTCGCACACTTGAATATTTGTTTAGTTAGTGGGAATGATTATTCTTGAGGACAAAAATATGATGAAAAAGCTATGAATTGCAATAGGAATGACTATAGTGTATTTGCTAGAAAAAATTGCGTCCCCTTTACATGGCTATTAGCCCTCTTATTTATATTGACAAACGACATTCAACTCTCAATTAAACACAATTATTCTCTCTTAAATGTGTCCGTTTTGGTCTTCGAGTTTTAATGCCCAACGTTTGAATTTGAATTGATTCCGATCTTCATGGGCTTCGCCTTTTGGCCCAAGTCATCCGACTTCGATTCCGAGTCATATCCCGAGGTGTGACCACTCCGGGCTCTCTTTATGGTGACGGCCACTCCGATTATACCTTGTAAACCACGGGCCTAATGGGCCTTTTCCTCTGTGGGCCTAAATCCTGATTACGTGGCGATCTTTGGTTGGTCCCGGTCTACTGATGCGGGATCCGACACCAACACTTGTTTAGATTTTCTGTATTACAACACGTTATCAGCACGATCGTCTCTCCGTCCGAGCATCTACTGATCCAATCGTATTTCTACTCGATCAATCTCTTGGTCATTCTCTCCCGTAAAACTAAGGTACCATTTACATATTAAATTTTATGTTAAATTTTTTAAAATTTATTAATTACGGAGTAGTAGGTTATGCCTTCTCCATAATCGAGTGATAGGCTATGCCTTCTCAAAATTCTAAAAATAATTTAATAATTGATTAATCATTCATATAGATTATCATGTCAAACTTGGCGAAGCTTGATATCGTTGCCCTTGATCTATCTGAAAAAAATCATATGACATGGGCATCAAATGCAAGAATGCATATGAAATCAAATGGGCTTCTTAGCACCATCGATCAGTCAGAATAAACATCAGATGAGAATAAAGCCAAGGCTATGGTATTCCTACGCCATCATCTCCATGATAGCTTAAGAAATGAGTACATCACGAAAGAGGATCTCGTGGACCTTTGGCAGTCACTCAAAGATAGGTTTGATTAGGGCTGGGCGTTCGGTTTTTCGGTTTGGTTTCGGTTCGGTTTTTTCGGTATTACGGTTTTTTCGGTTTTAAGAAAAGTGAAACCATATAAAAACCATATGAAATTCGGTTTTCTTACGGTTCGGTTTTAACGGTTTTACGGTTTTTCGGTTTTAAAAAAATTAAAATCATTTAAAAACCATATGTATTTTGGTTCGGATCGGTTCCGGTTTGGTTCCGGTTTTTTTCACGTTTTTACCAAAAAAAATTATAAGCTTGATGCATAAATAAAATCAAAATCTAGTTTGTAAACCCAAATCCTAAATTTAAATTCAAACTTGTAAAAATTAGAAAGCTAATAAGCTATAGAAAACAAAATTCAGAAATAATTTGTATCATCGTCATCACTCAGTGATATCACTCATTAGCCACGATTGGCCTCTTTAAGCTGCCTATTAATCTCTGATAGACAAAACAAAATAAAAGAACATGAGATCCAGTGATATATATATATATTTATTTATATATAAGATGTAAAATATTCTTCAATGTAGTTGAAAGTTTAAACCCATAAGAGAATCATGAATATTGAATACATACCTTCGTGTAAAGACTCCATATATTCAGGTTCTTCTAGCATTTTCCCAATATCAACACATGCATCAGAATAATAAGATGATGTTTTAAGCCAATTCTGCAATAAAATCAGTGTTTCCACCATAAAAGGAGTTAGTGAACTCCTATATGGGTCTAAGATGCGATCTCCGGTGCTAAAAACAGATTCCGATGAAACATTCGAAACAAGAAATGCAAGCACATCCCTGGCCAATTCTGCTAATATTGGGAACTTAGTGCTATTAGTCTTCCACCACGATAGTATATCATAGGGTAGCCCAAGAGGATTTGGTTGTGGTACTTCCACATTTTCCAGCAGATATATAGTTAACTCATTGGCTACGTCATCATTTTTCTTCTGTGATTGCATCTGACTATAACGGGAAAATTTTGTATTACGAAACCCACGACCAATCTCACAAGAAACCACGGGCTCGACCACACTTCCATCTTGTGACGAACTTGAAGATCCATCCATTTTCTTACTACGGAAGCCACTGTAGGTATCAAACAACTTGTCCAACAAATCCAAGACTTCTTTTTTCAACGTTTCTGTGGTTGTACTTCCTTTTCCGTACTTATCTTCAAAACAACTTGTCACAAATTCCATTTTGCAGCGTGGGTCTAGGACACTTGCAATAATCAACATTTTGTTTATCTTTTTAACACCATCCCAATACTTATCAAACTTCTCTTTCATAGGAGTTACCATGCTCTGCACGTCTTTATCTTGACTCTTTTTCATTGCCGTTAAATGTGCCTCAATAGTGCATATCTCATCATAACATGTATTAGATGTCACCTTTGAATAAGCAGAAAATACCAAAGTTGATTGGTAGAAACCCTCCAAGAAACCTACCAATCGAGTAACATCATCCCAATCTACAGATGTTGGTGGCCCGAGTATTTTCACTCCATTTTCTTCTTCTTGGAAATAAGTATCGTAAGGTCGATCTTCAAATCCTAGCTTATCAAAGGTAGATCGATACTTGAGAGCGCTATCCAACATTAGATACGTAGAGTTCCACCTTGTTGTACAATCCAGAGGCAAACTACCTCTACTAACTTTCTTGTCTAATCCCAAACGCATATGAAATGACTTAAATCGCTTATCGGAAGATCTCACATACTTCACTGCATTCCTAATCGCAACAACACTCTTATTTATTTTAGCCAACCCATCTCTCACAATCAAATTCAATATGTGAGCAGCACACCTTACATGCATATACTCTCCGCCTAGTATTAGTGATTCATCTCCTGAAAAATTCACGTTTTCCTTTAAATGCTTAATACCAGAATCATTTGCGGAAGCGTTATCAACCGTGACTGTAAACACTTTCTGAATACCCCATTCGTCCAAACAACTCACTAATTGATTCCCAATTGTCTCTCCTCTATGATTAGAGATAGGCCTAAAACTGATGACCTTTCTATGCAAACACCAATTCGGATCAATGAAATGAGCAGTTACCACCATATAGCTGACACTAGTAGTTGGCGCTGTCCATATATCTGTAGCTAGACAAACTCTTTGCTTATACGCACTAAAAAAGCTCATTAGCATAGCCTTTTCTCGATAGTACAGCTCGACAATATCTCTAGTGATTGTTCTTCGAGAAGGAATAGTAAACTGAGGTATAGCTGCCTTACAAAAGTTACTAAACCCAACCTTTTCAACGAAAACAGAAGGCAGCTCATCCAGCACAATCATTTTCGCTAATTCACTTCGACAAGCAATTGGACAATATTTCACAACATCTAAACCACCTGATTCTTTCCGAGCTAACTTTTTCTGAGTTTCAGATTGCTTAAAATTGATGTATGCCTAACAGATTTTATTGTGGTTTCGCAAAGTACTCGTCCCACTAGATGGTTTGCACCCAAGTATTGCACCACAATAGTTACACCCACACTTTACTGGATCATTTTTGAGCTTTGTAAAGTGGTCCCATACATCCGACCGTTGAACATTTTGTTTTTTGGCCGTTGAAGAAGGATCATCAGTTGCATTCCTTTTTTCACCGGGATTAGGGTCTTGACTTGAATCTGCCATCTACGATTATTAATTGTGATGAATGATCAGTTGAGGATAAGAGATAATACTATAATAGGACAAAGAGAACAAAAAATAGAAAAAAAATACCTGGTAGTTTGTGTTGCAGGGAAGGCACGTAGGGGAAGAGAGTTTAAGAACAAAGAGTCAATGACGGCATGTGATTTATATAGAATTTTAGTTTAGGTTAGGGTTAGGGTTTTGTTTTTCGATAGTTCGATAGATATGATATTATCAAATGGACATTATATATATATATACAATTATTTTTAACTTTAATAAAAAACCAAGAAAACCGTTCGGTTTTACGGTTTTTAACCAAACCAAACCTAAACCGAAACTTAAATAAAAATTACAACCAAATGGGTTTTTATACAAAACCATAACCAAACCAAACCATTTATTTCGGTTAGGTACGGTTCGGTTTTTCGGTTTTCGGTTTTTTTTGCCCAGCCCTAGGTTTGATCACCAGAAGTATGTGATCTTACCAAAGGCTACGCATGATTGGCTAAATCTCTGGTTTATGGATTACAAAAGTGTTCGTGATTATAATTCCGCCACGTTCAGAATCACTTCCATGATTATTATATGTGGTGTAAAAGTGAGTGATTAAGATATGATTGAAAAAATGCTCTCGACTTTTCATCCTGGAAATGTAATCCTGTAGGAGCAATACTGAGCCAAAGGATATACTCGATATTCTGAATTGATGCAAGTTCTTCTTGTTGCTGAACAAAATAATGAACTCGTGATGATGAATCATCAAACTCGTCCAACTGGATCAGCTCTACTTCCAAAAGTGAATGTTGCTTTCTCCACTTCTAATAATTGGCAAGGACGAGGACACAGACGCAGTCGAGCAAAAGGAAGGGGTTTCCATCCTAATAATTTTAACGCGAAAAACCAAACTAAAATCTTCAGGTGAATGATACGGGTCGCATTATAAAGAAACAAGATGAGAATACTTGTTACAGGTGCGGCATAAAAGGACACTGGTACCAAAATTGTCGTATACCAAAATATTTGGCCGATCTGTATCAAGCATCTCAATAGACAAAAGAAAGAGATGTTGAGACCAACCTCATCTATGACGAAGCTGGACCTTCCTTTCATGGCCTAAATGATGAAACTCATCTTGATATTGCAGATTTCCTCGTTGATCATGGAAACGAGAAATCGTGCTAATAATTGATATGACATGTTATGGTTGCAGTAGTATTATAATTAGCTTTTGTATTTAAAATCTTTTTCAATGATGGTTTTATTGTAATATATCGTAACTTTTTGTAAGACTTGTGTTATGTTATTAATGCATATTTTTATAAATGCTTTATCTCAGAATATATCAAATTTTGAGATTGAAGATGGATATATATGTTTAGTAGACAGTGCTACAACACATTCAATACTTAAAGATAAAAAATATTTATCTTTTCTTAACATAAAGGACTCCGCCGGTAGCGTGAGTACCATATATAGCCACGCAAAGGTTATTGTGGGCTCTGGCAAAGCCAATTTTACAATGCCAAGGGGAACACAATTTGAAATAAATGATGCATTATATTCCCCTAAGTCTCACAGAAACTTGATAAGTTTCAAAGATATCCGAAGTAATGGATATTATATCGAGACTATGAATAAGAAAGGCATTGAATATCTTTGTATCAAATCCGAGAGAAAATATATTAGAGGAATTGTCAATGCTATCCTCCGGATTATATTGCACAAAAATAAATTTGATCGCATCATATAGTACAGTAAACTCGAAGTTTACTAGTACATTTAAGATATGGCATGAAAGACTTTGACATCCTGCTTCAGTCATGATGCAAAAGATTATGCAAAATTCTAATGGCCATCCAATGAAAAATCAGAAACTATTTCAATCTAATGAGTTTTCATGTGATGCATGTTCTCAAAGAAAACTCATAATTCGGCCATCACCAGCCAAAGTTGGGAATGAATTGCCAATATTCTTAGAGAGAATACATGATTATATATGTGGAACTATCCACCCTACGTGTGGACCATTTCGTTATTTTATGGTAATGATTGACGCATCTAGTAGATGGTCACATGTATGTCTATTGATAACACGAAATACGGCTTTCGCAAAATTCATTACCCAAATAATCAGGTTAAAAGCATAATTCCCTGATTATGCCATAAAAAAAGTCAGGCTTGATTACGCCAGTGAATTCACTTCAAAAGCCTTTAATGACTATTGTATGTCAATGTGAATCGATGTTGAGCATCCGGTCCCTCATGTTCATAAACAAAATGGCATGGCCGAATCTGTAATTAAACGGCTGCAACTCATTGCTAGACCGTTAATATTGAGAACAAAGCTCCCAATTTCTATATGGGGCCATGCAATCTTGCATGCTGCAGTATTGATCAAGATACGACCAAACGCATATCATAAATATTCTCTTTTACAGGTAACGACTGGTCAAGAGCCAAATGTAGCTCATCGCCATGTTTTTGGGTGTGCGGTTTATGTTCCTATAGCTCCACCACAAAGAAACAAAATGGGACCACAACAGAGATTGGGTATATACATCGGTTATGCATCATCGAGTATAATTCGATATCTTGAACCGCAAACTAGTGATATGTTTACGGCACGTTTTGCTGATTGCCATTTTAATGAAGATGAATTCCCAGCATTAGGGGGAAGAATTAAACAAGTGACAAAAAATATTACATGGTGTACACCATCGTTGGTATATTTTGATCCTCCTACAAATCAACGTGAGCTGGAAGTTCACAAAATTGTACATTCACAGAATATGGCAAATCAATTACCAGATGCGTTTACAGATACAAAAAGGGTGACAAAGTCTTATATTCCCGCTGCAAATGATCCATCAAGAGTTGAAATTCCTAAAGAGAATGCGATAGGAGCAAAGCTAATGAACCTAAGGTTCAATTGAAACGCGGAAGGCCAATAGGCTCGAAAGATAAAAATCCCCGAAAGAAAACAAAAATGAGAAATGAAAATGAAAATGTTCAAAAGAAACCTAATAAAGAGAAAAGTCTAGAGATGAAATTAATGATGAGAATGGAATATTTCTATTAACTATGTCCAAGATGGAAAATTATGGACTAGAGATGAAATTAATGATGAGAATGGAATATTTTCTTTTCTGTATCTGAAGAGATCAATCATGAAAATGATGATACAGATCCAAGGTCCGTATCCGAGTGTCAACAAATGTCTGATTGGGAGAAATGGAAAAGTGCAATGCGAATTGAATTGCTCTCCCTCAATAAAAGAATGTTTTTGGACCTATTGTCAATGCATCTAAAGATGTAAAACCTATTGTGTGCAAATGAGTTTTTGTGCAGAAAAAATGAGAATGATAAAATCACACGATATAAAGCCCGACTTGTAGCACAAGGTTTCTCTCAAACACCTGGAGTTGATTATGAAGAAACATATTCTCCGGTCATGGATGCAATTACATTCAGGTACTTAATGATCCTTTCGGCATCTAATAATCTAGAGATGTACCTGATGGATGTAGTAACAACATATTTATAAGGATCACTGGATAATGATATATACATGAAAATTTCAGAAGGATTTAAAGTTCGTGAGACATTAGACTTAAAGTCTTATGATGTATGTGCAGTCAAATTACATCGATCAATATATATATATATATATATTAAGATAATCTGGACGCATGTGGTATAATCGTTTAAGCGATTATTTACTAAAGAAAGGGTATGTGAATAATGAAATATGCCCTTGCGTCTTTATCAAGAAATTTCCATCGGGAGTTGTGATCATTGCTGTTTATGTTGATGACCTAAATATCATTGGAACTCCAAAGGAGATTGATGATGCAAGAAGTCATATGAAAGAAGAATTCGAAATGTAAGATCTTGGAAAGACTAAATTTTGTCTTGGACTCCAAATAGAACATTTCCAAGATGGAATATTTGTGCATCAATCAAATTATACGAAAAGGATTTTAATGCGCTTTAATATGGATAAAGCGAATCCTTTAAATACTCCAATGATAAATAGATCTTTAAATGTTGAAATGATCAATTCAGACCTTGTAAAGATAACGAAAAAATACTTGGTCTCGAAGTACCTTATATGAGTGCTATTGGTGGACTTATGTATCTTGCAAATTGTACTCGACCAGATATAGTTTTTGCTACTAATTTACTTGCAAGATACAATTCATCTCCTAGTCGGAGACATTGGAATGGAATAAAGCATATTTTCCTTTATCTTCAAGGTACGATCGACTTGAGATTATTTTATCCTAGAAACTCCGAGTTTGATTTAGTTGGTTTTGCAGATGCAGGCTACCTATCAGATCCCCATAAATCTCGATCACAAACTGGATATGTTTTTACCAATGAAAGAACTGCGATCTCATGGCGTTCTCAGAAGCAAACGTTAGTCGCCACTTCATCAAATCACACAGAGATCATTGCTCTTCATGAAGCGTGTAGAGAATTTATATGACTTAGATCTATGACTTACCATATTCAAGAAGCAAGTGGATTAGTCATCAAAAGAGAGCCAACAAGATTATATAAAGATAATGCTGCATGTGTTGCTCACATAAAAGAAGGTTATATCAAGAGCGATAGAACAAAGCATATACCTCCAAGATTCTTCTCTTACAATCAAGAACTCGAGAAGAATAAGGAAGTCGATATTCAGTACATCCACTCAAGTGACAATGCAATAGATCTATTTACAAAGGCGCTTCCAACTTTCACATTTAGAAAGCATGGTCAAAGTATTGGAATGCGTCATCTACGTGACCTATGAAGTCTTTTCGAGGGAGAGTTTACGGCATTGTACTTTTTCCCTTGTCATGGTTTTTATCCCAATGAGATTTTCCATGATAAGAGTTTTAACGACGCAGTACACAACTCGTCAATGGTGATGGAGACTCAAAGGGGAGTATTGTGAACTAGTGTGTTTCTCCATCACAAAACACATGTCATTACACGTGCCTTTAAGTTGGACACTAATCTCTTAAGTATAACACTTGTTATTACATAAGTTTCACACTTGTCATTATACATAAACACTTATCATCACATCCTTAGATGTGTATGACTCATCATCTCTTTTCTCCTTTATAAATAGGAGTTGTTCAAGATGAGAAATGTAATACAACAGAGAGAGAAGAAGAAGAAAATTATAAGAAACTTAAAGTGTTGATTTCTCCCCTCTCTTATTATATAAGTCCTTGTTTAGATTTTCTATTTTACAACAAAAATCTTGTTTTGTTAAGATTAATACATTTGATGTATGTATTATAGATAGATAGATAGTCAGGAAACAATACAAAGTTTTTTTTTTTTTTTTTGAGTTTGACTATATTTTGATGACTTGCCATATCTTAATAATAGAGTTTAAATATAATAATAATTATTACAGGAAAATGATTTTGTTGTTTTAAATGTATTAAATCATATAATGGTTATTAAGATAAATTATCTGATTAGATAACATATATTGGTTTTATAATCTCCTATATAACTTATTGTATATGCTAAAAATATTTTTTTCATCATTTTCCTATTAAATTATGTGTAATTCCAAGTAAAAAATTGGAACAATTTTTAGTCATATGATATCGTGATTTCTTATTTAATTTTGTTAATTTCAATTATAACAAAACAATGCAATTTAGTATAACAACAATATGAAATATCTAACTTTGGTAATAAAAATTTGAAATATTTAAATTTGGTAACTTTATATATTAAAAATCTTTTATATGTGTTTGAACTTTGAAGATTGATTTTAAGAAAGAAAAGATAAATAATATTTGCATATCTGGAAACAAAAATGTTTGGTGATAGGGATAGTAGAGTTAGAAAAAGAAAAAATAAAATGGTTGAGAAAAATTGTGGGCTTGCCACATAAACACTACAAACTCTTTTTTAATATACATATGATATACTTTTTCATCAAGTTTTTGTTTCTTTTACAAAAAATAATATATATTGCATTTTTATTAGTAACAAAATAATAGAAACTTCTATGTATTTTTATTGGAGATGTGAAAAAATGGGTAAAAAAACCCTTAATATATATTTTCTAATAACATTTAAATAACCCTCACATTTTTGTTTGAAAGTTTTTAAAACCCTCACATTTTGTTTTAATTAAAATACCTATAAGCAAAAGCAAATTAGTTTGAGATTAGTTTTATCAAATTCGATTTTGCCGTTTTTTTTCTTCATATTTTGTTTTTTCTTCTATGTGATTTAAAACTTATATGAAATATAAATTATACATCTAGTTGAGATATGATAAGTTCAATTTTTTTTTATATTAGAAATTGTGTTATGTAAACAAAAACTTATATGTGTTGATCCATCTATCAAAATCCACATCAGCTTGAGGAGAAATGATTCATCTGAGTTTTCTATTTAAATTTGAATAAATTGAAATTAACAAAAGCATCTCTCAAAGAATCTTTTTTTTGTTTGAAGAGATTAACACAAATCTTAAACAAGATAATGCATTGAATATTTGGTAAAAGCGTGATCATCAACTTCAAATTCGTAAACTAAAAACTAAAAAGCAAAACAAAACCAAAAGACAATTAAAATAATAAAACTTCGAATAAGATCAAAGTGATTCTTTCTTAGAGCTCATCATAATCTTAAACTCTTCAAAGCTAACAAAACCATCACCGTATTTATCAACGGCTGGAACCATCGTAACACATTCCTCTATTGTTGCTTCTCTCCAAGCCGCTTCAATACCACATGAATCTCACTCGCCGAGATCTTTCTATCACCATCGATATCATACAAATCGAAAGCTTCTTTCATAACAACTTCTTCATCATCTCTTTCTCCTCCTTCATTAACCATCAAGCACGAAGCAAACTTCACAGCATCTATTTGACCGTCACCGTCGACATCAAGAACTATGAACATCTTATCAATATCTTCGGATGTTATTTTAGGATAAAAAACGCGAATTACCTCCGCAAATTCGTCCCATGGAATTTTTGCATCTCTGTTTTTGTCAACTCTCTCGAAAATTTCTGCCATAGACATTGTATTTTGAGTAATAATATGGTGATGATGTAGAATTTTTTTTTTGTTTGTGAGGAAGTCAAAACCTTATAATCTGTATTTATAGAAGAAGAATGTTATAGTTTTGATTCCTAAAAAGATTTGGTTTTATCAAGTGATTTCTTTTTTACATATTAAATCTACATTTCTTATTAAAAAATCATAAAATTTTACGCTTTCGGAAAATAGAAAACACAAGCGTGTTTCCTTTTTTCTTTGTTTTGGAAAACAAAAAACAAACGCAAAGTTTCCTTATTTTTTTATCTAACATCAGATGATTTTTTTTTTAATATATTCCAAATCTTTGCAACATTATATTTCTTTAAATTGTACATAGTTGTTCTTACATATACATTTCTTAAGCACATTATAAAAATATCACTTACAAAGTAAGGAGTTTAACCAAGTCAGTAAAATTACACTTTTTCAAGTATTGATAACAAACGACATATTCTTGATATTTGGTCTAAAAATATTTTTATTGAGTGATTAAAGACAGAAACTTATCCATGTCATGTAGATAATGCCTATCCTAATTTGCTTGGGCTCAAAGCCATCTTTCCTATATGATCAAAGAGTAAATGTAGAGTAGAAGAGAAGTAGAAGCAAAAAGCTTCACACTTTATTCTCTCCTCTCTCTCCACTTTCTCTCTTAGTTTCTTTTGTTTATTTTATAAAATATTATTTTATATACATATACATATTAACATTATAGTTTTTTTATAACACGTTATTAGCACGATGTCTTTACCACTTAAGCATTTACGAGGTAAGTAAAATTTATATTATTTATGTTTATAGAACATAATTATTTTAGACATCGTGAGACTATGCCTTTTTCCGGTTTGATTGTCATAAATGGTAGGCTCTGTCTTCTTTACGATCAAATAAAAAGCTATGTCTTTTCCGGATAGATCGTTATATATGGTAGGCTATGCCTCCTTTACTATCAAATAAATGGCTATGCTTTTTCTGGATCGATCGTCATATATGGTAAGTTTTATCTTTCTAACGATCAAATGAAAATTTATATTTTTTTCCGGATTGATCGATATATATATATATATATATATATATATATATATATATGGTAGGCTTTACCTCCTTCTCTACGATCATACGAAAGTTATGCCTATTGAATTCTTAATGGAAGGCGATGCCTCCTGAATTCTTGTATTAAAAGGCTTTGGTCTCTATATTATTAATTTTATTAATTTATGTGTTTAATTATATTTATTTATTTTATTCGTAAAAAATAAATATATGTATTATATAAGATTTAAAGAGTTTGAAATATATTTTTTAATTATTATATTGAGACTATAAATAAATATGGTATCAAATGTCCGACAACAATGGAGACACGCAGATGTATGATTATATCATGCAAAAAATAAAGATGGTAAAATATTTATGATAGTAAATAAAAGTTTGCTAATTGCTATAGCATAGTATAACTGGTCAAGCCATCCCGGTATAACAATGAAATTAATAATGATGATCCAGATCCAAGGTCCATATTAGTGCTAGCAAGGGTCTGATTGGGAGAAATAAAAAATGTGCAATGTATTGAATTGCTCTCCCTTATTAAAAGAGATGTCGTTATACATCTTGTCACTACATCTAAAGATTAAAACTTGTTGCGTGCAAGTGGGTCTTCGTGTTTAAAAAGATAAAATCACACGATATAAAGCCCGACTTGTTGCACAAGGTTTTTCTCAAAGACCTGGAGTTGATTATGAAAAAAAATATTCTCCGGTCATAGATGCAATTACATTCAGGTACTTAACGAGCCTAAAGGTCTCTAATAATTTAGAAATGTACCTTAAGGATATAATGACTATATATTTATATGGATCATTGGATAACGATATATAGATAAAAATACTAGAAGGATGTAAAGTTCCTGAGCCATTAGACTCAAAGTCTAATGAAATATGTACAGTCAAATTACAGCGATCAATTTACGGATTAAAATAATCCAGACACATATGGTATATCGCTTAAGCGATTATTTGTTAAAGAAAGGGTATATCTGTTAATAACGATATATGCCCTTTGTGTCTTTATTAAGATACCTCTATCGAGAGTTGTGATCATTGCTGTATATATTGATGACCTAAATTGGGACTCAAAAAGAGTGATTAAATATCACTTTAAATTTATATAAAGAAAGAAAAATTTATTCAAGTACTGCATGCATCCGTCCACACTACAGAGGTAACATTTAATTTACGTTGCATTTATTTCACTTTATTTAAATTCATTTAATTTTTCTGTTATATCGGGTCGAAGGTTGCATACCTTCTCTTTAATTTTGTAGTAGGTTATGCCTCCAGAATCAAATAAAATATTTGGCCAAATTACCAATTTTCGGTTTAACAAGCTCATTGTATATATATAATGGTCAATTTTCTTAATATTTTCTAAATTAAACCCCGTATATATACCGGTCTAAAAAGGAGATTCGGTCCAAGATGAATAGACTTGAAAAGTCATCATCTTTGGAAAAGGTATTAAAAGTCCCACATTTTTAAAAGGATCCAAAATAAAACACATGGCCAAAGATGAGTATGTTGTTGATCATAAAGTGGGATTCATTTCGACATGAATGAACTCAAAGAGTTATCATCTCGAGGGAGAGAATTAAAAGAATCTCACATCGACAATAAGTTGATAAATTTTGGTGAACTTGACACCCCAGAGCGAGATAACTCTGGTGAAGTTATATTCAAAATTTATCACTTTTTGATAAAGTGGAATATCTAAAAATGATGTTCACTCCTAAAATGAGCTTTAAGCGAATCGATCATAACGCAAATCCTAGAGATTGCAAAACGATTCATGGTGATTTAATCTCCATATTTTTGTATGAAGCATGCAGTTTAGCATTTATTAATGATTATATATAAGGCCAACAATTTCTAAGAAATATTCTCCCATGTTATATATACATAATTGGAAATCAAATATTTCTCATTTTGAATTTTATGGGTGTGAGATATATGTTATAAATGCTCCTCTGCACAGCATAAAAAAAAATGACATCCTAAGAGGATGAAATATATAGATGTTGGAGATGAGTCTCCGCTCTATTAATATTGAACCATCTTTTAGAGATGTGCCTATTGCAAGATTTGCAAATCATCATGTTGATGATAAAGTTCCCCATTATTATGGGAGAATCGTTGAATTGTTCAGATCTTTGAACAAATAACTATAATAAATATGAACTTAAGAGTTCAAAAATTTCAAATAGATCACTATTCATAATAAATTGCAAATCAAATGCAAAAAGCTGATGGATGAGATTTCATGTAATTATTGATCCTCGTATAAATGCATATGAAGTTAAATTTCATAGGAAATCTCTTGTCCCAGCTAAAAATACTCTACAAAAATATGTCTCTGGCGGATGACATATTATTGTCTATAACACGTAAAAAAACGTGATAGAAAACTTTGGTTCCAAATATACAGAAAATCCTCAAAAATTAAAAGAGGAGCATATAGACTCCTAAAGAGGAGCAAACAGACTCCTTAAGAGGAGTAAAGAGACCGATTGACATGGTTAATAACGAAATCAAGTACCTAAATAAAATCATTTATAATGATTAAGAGATCTCGATTAACCATGTCATTACGGTAAATATGGAACCAAAGCAAAGACAATACAATGTCGACAATAAAAATGATCAAGCGCGCAAATATAATTAATGAGGATCATGAACTCCACTCTGTGAGTGTAAAGAAATATATATTGGCCAATAAACCAAAAGGCAGCCAAGTCTATATTAATCTCGTATAAGAAACGAGTAATCTCTGGATACATGGTCCAAGCATTAAAAGAGTATTATGATACTTAGGACAAAACGGTGTGTCACGCCGAATTTTGTCAAAATCACTCGATATTGAGTTGATGTTATATGAATAAATGACTTGAGTTGCGTCTCATAAAAGACTAATCCATAAAAGATATATGATACCATAACTATATTCCCGGAAACTTATAAGCATGATATTTTTGAACATCATCAAGCTCTTAAAGAGTTATTTCGAATAAAAGATCTTGGAAAGACAAAAGTGTCTCCAGATATTTAACCTTAACATCTAAAGAAAGAGATGTTATATTATTCACTTCTAAAGGAAGTCGACTCTATATATTTGATCATGAAGCACTATATATAAATGCTGACAAGCATTTATATATTTTGTGAATTGTAACTAGCATATATAGATGCTGACGAGTATTTATATATCTTGTGAATATAGTGTACCTAGCATTTGCTACAGATCTACTTGTAGGATCAATTCATTTCCTTCGACTAAACTTTGAATGAGTTCAAATGTGTCTTCCACTATCTTCAAAGTACGATTGACTTGGGTTTATTGTTGGTTTTACAGATGGAGGATCTATATCAGATCTATAAAAATATATATCGCAAAACAACAACTTCGTGGCATTTCCAACAATAAATTTTGGTCGTCGCTTGTTCAAGCCATGCCAAAATTATTGCGCTCCATGAAGCATGTCGAGAATTTATATGGCTTAGATTGATGCACTCAACATATACAAGAAGCAAGTAATATATACACAAGTGAAGAGCCAACAACAAGACACTGCTACATATGTTTCCCAACTCAAATGAAGCTATGTCAAGAGCGAGATGACAAGACATATTTTTTTAATATTCTTCTCTTGCACTCAAAAATCTGAGAAGAAGCAAGAAATTGATTTCCGGTACATCCGCTGAAGGAACAATGTAGCAGATTTACAAGGGCGCTTCCTACTACAACATTCTAAAGTATCTTCGCAGATCAAAAGGTCTCTTTTGAAGATGATGTTTCCAAGGGGAGACATATGATGATTTGCGTGAGTGCACTCTTTTTTCCTTATCATGGCTTTTATCCCACTGAGTTTTTCCATGACAAGGTTTTTAACGAGGCAGCAAATAACACGCAAAAGATAGACAACAAAGTGAAAGTCTATCTCTCTTCCAAAATCTTTGTCATATATTGACGAGATCAGAAGG